GGGCACCCCCGCGCCCCCCGCTCCTGTGCTCACGGGTGGCCGTGCCTGGGCGAAGCGTGTCCCTCTGATCCCAGGGGACCTGCGTGGCCCATGGAGCATCCCCAGGACCGCCCCATCCTTGCACATCCCTGAGAGGCTCCTTGGGTGGGATGTGGCTCGGCGGGTGGACCCTTGACCTTGGGCTGCAGGGGCTGGGCAGAGAACAAGGAAGCCAAAACTCCCGTTTTTCTAGCTTAAGGTTAAGAGGTGACTGGTGCTGAGTCCCCCACGGGGAAGATCCCGACAGCCTCAGGTTCTTCAGTCCAGCACAACAGCGCAGCAGATGCTGGTGACTGGAGACCCCTCACAGGGCATTGGTCTGGTCTGGTTCACCCCGCACAGGGCTCAAGGGGGGCTGTGGGGGCACAGGGCCAAGCAGGGCAGCAGTGGGGCAGCCTGGAGAGCGAAGCTGTCCTGGATGGCTGAGCAGGACTGGCAACCCCTTCCCCAGCCCCGCCGGGCTCGACGGCAGAGGACCCAGCATTTCCTCCACGCGAGGAGCTGACAGACGCTGTTTGGGGGGCTACAAATCAGAGCTGAAAAGCTGGGGCTGGACAGGCTGTCTGGGAACTCGTAACCTGAGCCCCAGGAAAGGAGGACTCAGGAAAGCGCTTTCAGCAATCATATTCATCATCTTCAGCTCAGACTCATTAGGCTCGCAGAGCCCAGCCCCGCCACCGCCAACGCCTCCCGCACGCAGATAGAGCCGCCGGCTCAGACAAATAAATGCTTCCAGCTTCCCGGTGGATGCGGCAGGTCAGGGAGCATCTGATGCCAATTACCTGTGGTGTAGGGTTCCCTGGCTGCGCTTGCTGGCACCGCACAGTGAGGTGGCTCCCGCGCTCCGGCCCTCCTGCCTGGGTCTACCCTGGCCACAGTGGTGCTCAGCCCCTCCAGTTCAGAGTGGCCCCATGGATCACCCTCTGCTCCCCATGCCAGGAGCCATGGGGGTGGCCAAGAGGGGAGAGTTTCGGTCTCCCATCACGGGGGAAAGATCAGGCACGGGGCTACGGCTGGAGAGCTGTCCCGGCTGGTGCAGCAGGTTTGGAGCCATCTGGGTAGGAAGTGTCTCAGCTGTGCATCACCACATGACATCATGTGGATGCCCTGCACCCTGCTGTGCCCACCACACGTGGGTCCCAGTGACCTAACTGCCCAAGGACATCCCTGGGGCAGCACATCCCCATCTCAGGGTCTGAGCAGAGGGAAGCCATGGGAATCCCCATCAGGCTGAGGTCCAAAATTACAACAGAACCCTAATGGAGATCCCTGGATGGGGCTGGGAAGGGACTCCAGGGTCCAGGCACCCACCCCAAGTGGTGATGGCAGCCTGCAGAGCCATGCAGCTTTGCTGAGCGCTGCAGTGAAATGGGCACAGGTGGCTCCGCTCGCCCCGGTGGCTCTTCAGGGCAACTGCACGTTTCCACTTCTCTGGGCTCAGGCCAGCCTGGATGTCCCTAATTGCCCAAAGGTCGGCATCCCCGAGCCCAGGGCCACGTGTCGGAGGGACCCCGGGCAGGAACCTGACACGGACTCGAGTCATTTGGGATCAACGCTGGGGGCCAGGAAATTGCAACGGACACGAACCTAAATATGCTGCGTGTCCCCCCAGGTAATCAGGGGCCGGGCCAGATTCCGGCTGACAGCTTAAATGCCTTAATTCCTTGGCCGCTGCAGTTCGAGGGGGTCCCGTGTGCCATGGGCTTCTCCCAAACGGTCTCTGAGCTGGAGATTTGTCTCTAATTGGAGGCATGTTGCATTCCCCTGAAAGTAGCCAGGTCCCACTGGAGGGGGACTGCGGGAAGGCAGCAATTTCCCTTATGGAATTATTTACCTGATTAGAGAGTTTATTTTATCAAAATTGCTTCAGAATGGGGCCGCTCGGTGTGTCCAGCGCGGGGAGCTCCCTGGTGGGGCCGGTGGCCTGGAGACAGGTAATTTGTGTGGTTAATGGGACTAATCCACCAGGCAATTACACCAATAGATTTCACGGCTGCAAAGTGCTCTGTTCCCATTAATTAAAAATCTGTTAAGAAGATTAGCACGTAAAGGTATCAAAAGCAACCCAAGAGTTTCTTTCCCCACCAGCCCCCAAAGGCGAGTGTGGGAGTGCTGGATTGCTCACATTAGCACAAAAATTATTCTTTTAAAGGTAAGGGCTTCGCATTCAAAGTAACCGCTGACAGTTTTCCCTGACTTCCCTACCAAGAGGTCCTTTATGTTTAATTATAGTTTGTTTAAATTAGCCCTGATTGTTCGCGTGGAGTGTTAGTTTAAATATATTTTGAACGTGTGGTTCCCCTGTGCCCTGCCGAGGAAGGCAGCCAGCGCGAGGAGGGCAGCCTCCGGCCGAACCCTGCGCCCCGGCAGGTGCCCCCG